GTCTTTAACATTTTTCATTATTATTATCGTTTCAGTTTTTCTAGCAAATAAACGACTTTTGATGCATAATACACCGCGGGTTCTGTTATTCAACAACAGTATGCTTTCAAGGTGAATTGTGCGTTCGCACCCTGTGTTTTGCATTTTAAATGTTTGTCAGATACTGCTAGAGACTTGAAGTTTCAGTAGCCGTACTGTTTATTTTTACTGAATTTGGTTGCTAGCCTTATATCCAGCCTTCGCTCTTTACCAGTCTTATTACTGGCTTAACGAGGTTTAGGGGTGCATCGTCCGAGGATCGAACCTCGCACCACAAGGGTGGCCGGTGAGTATTCTACCGCTGTGACACGAACGCGTTATCTCCAACTTCACACTAAATAAAAAAGTGTTGCCAGGTTCATTTGCAGGTCACTGATATCAGCTACAAAGATTTCACGCACTGAAATAAAATATAACCTAATAGTCCTGGCTTCAGCTTCTGGTGGAACCACTACTGTGAACTGTTGTGTACTGTTCACTGGTTACACCACTTCTACAAAATAAATCAGCTCATAGAAAATTCTTCTTTGAAAGTATAAAATAATAAATGGCAGTTCAGTGTTGATGAGAGAGAACTGTAATATTGAGCTTATGTAATTATATCATTTTCTCTTTTTTACACCCATGTATATTCAACTAAATCCAAGCTATTATTGAAAAGTTCCATAGATATTAAATTATGAATAAATGAATTACAGAGAAAACTATTCAAAAGTCGTTGTGATTTCTTAATTTCGATGATAGAATTGATTTCGTTTTAACTTTTTCTCTTTCATCCGTCAAATTTAACTAATTTTTATGCTAGATTCTTAGCGGTATTGAGGGTGACCAGAGTGTTTAGGCTGCGAAAGTGAATTACTCATGGTATTCTTAAGAATTAGACTTTCAAGCCTTATTTTATGTTGATCTAAACAGAAGATAGTGAACTCAAATCAACGTGATGAGTTTCTAATTTATTAACTTCTCAAAATGGATATTGATCGGAGTCGTCCATTAAAAATTTAAAAGACTGACTAATGAACAGAAAATATTCTTCTCGATATATTCACCATCAGGTTCCACATTCAAATGACCACAATAATTAAAGAAATATTGTTGATAACAACAATAATGTTATTTTAAATTACACTGAATCAGTACAATCAACAGATTACATTTCAAAAGCATCAATAAAAGGGAGAGATAATACGTATTATTATAACACCAGACTGACTGATCGTCAGATAAATTAAGAGAACTAATAGACATATTTATGTGGTTGTGCTCTTGAAGTTGAATAGTTAATTTGCAAAGCTTTCATCACCCTACTAGGCAACATCTTCAGCGCATACTTCAATTTGTTGAAGTGAGCTTTTAGATTTCACCAAGAGTTTGCACGTTGTCTCTCCTGATGACCTTAAATGTGACTGATTGTTTTTGTGTGTTTTCACACCCTCTAGACTACTCGTATTGGTAGTGATTGTCTCCTAGACTTTAAGTTTGATCCTTAGTGTGTGAGGTTTCATTCTTATCGATTGGTGAATTTTGTCTATCTGAATGTGTCCATTGATTGACTATTCAATGGGATACCAGAGGGAATTAGAAACTCAAGTTTATCGAAAATCAACTCACACAGACCAAATACTGAATTACAACAACAACAATCCAATTACACACAAAAAGAATTATATACAAACATTATTCAAGAAAGCCAGTCAGGACTCATTGCAGCAATTCCACCTTAAGGAAAACTGAAGAAAGATATCTTATGGACGTCTTTCAAAAGAAAGAATATCCACGAAATCACGCATAAAATCACCCTACCATGTATAAACGTACATCTCAGAAATCGCCGTAAGTCTGTTTAAACCTTTAGAAATTGTCATCGCACACAAACCAACTAAATTACTTCACTCGGCTGGCTCTATATCAACAAAAAGACTCAGCAACTAGAGAAGATAAAACCAACATTATTTTCAGAATAAGTTGTAACAACTGTGAAAAACATTACATTGACCAAAGTGGACTTCCCCTTCGTCTTCGTGTTTATGAACGTAAGCTAGCCATCTAAAGACATGACATCCACTGCCTCATATCACTGCATACAGACAACCACGGACATCACTTCTACTCGAACAACCAGTGTTCAAATATTAGACAGAGGAAACACCAAGAATGCTGGAGGACCTTTAGAAGCCTGGTTTTCCAGTGAATAGTCAATCAATAGACATATCGAGATAAACAAAATTTACCAACCGATAAGAAGGAAACCTCACACACTAAGGATCAAACTTAAAGTCTAGGAGACAATCACTACCAATACGAGTAGTCTAGAGGGTGTGAAAACACATAAAAACAATCTATCACATTTAAGGTCACCAGGAGAGACAATGCGTAAACTCATGGTGAAATCTAAAAGCTCACTTCAACAAATTGAAGTATGCGCTGAAGATGTTGCCTAGTAGGGTTATGGAAAGTCTACAAATTAACTATCCAGCTCAAAAAACACAACCACATCAAAATCATCCACCTGAGCTACATATCTTCTGCATTCTATCTGAAGCAAAGGGGAATTAAGGAATTAATAGGTTGGACAGCAGGCCAGGGTAGCATTAGAGATTGATCAACCCTGTTTCTTTTGCACTCAGAGCTGCGGCTAATATACGGAAACTGCAATTCTTTTGAATGTTTAGCATTTAGAGGACTTTAGCAATTCATTCAACATGCAGCAGATAATATCAGTTTGCCTTATGGCCTGTTTGCATGAGGTGGTTCATTAAAGAACTGTTGATGATTTCGACAACTCGTTTATTTAACCACCCTGGTAGGTGATTGTGAACAGGTAAAATTAAGATTCTAGAGTAATAACGGCTAATAGAAATTGGCTTCACAAAAGCAAGAGTCATGAGAGGACAATATCTCCATAATGAACTCACATCAGGGTTATCAGCTGCTAATATATTTAATTCGTGAAATTAATATTCTTTGGAAAAAATTATTCATTCTCTGAGAAATATCAAAACCACCTATACTACTCTAGCAGTGTCTTACTGATTCTATAATATCTACTCTGGGTTACAATACAAAAGACCTTAATCTGTGGTTTATTTACGAGCTCATGAGGCGACTTTTGAAGTTACCTCGTGTTACATTACTGCAGTTTCAATGCATTTTGTGTTCTCTAATACAAAATGCGCGATATCTCATTTATTTTCAGATAATAAAGATATGTAGGTCATTTCCACGAGCAATTCTCTACCGTTCATACACTTTTATTTGAAACAAAGAAATATCGATAAATCTGTCGATCAAACCGTGATAATTTAACAAAACATCAAGGACAAAACCATGATATCTCTGGACATAGCACCATTACTCACAAATGTACCTTTAATAGAAACAGTTAATTGCATAGGTGAACAAGTGGACAAGCTGTCGATAAACATTGGCATACATATTGATATCCTAAAATAATTGATATTAAGATGTACCATGAATGTTAATTTTATATTTAACGGCATGCCTTACAGACAAGTGGACGGAGTGGCGATGGGCTCCCCGTTGGGTCCCATTCTGGCTGATTTCTTTTTAGTTAAGCTAGAAAATGGACCTCTGAACAATCTTATCAGTAAGCTCTCATTTTATTGCCGATATATGGATGATACCTTTATTCTTTTTGATAATGGTTCTGATAAGAGTACAATAATTACTGAATTCAATGAAGTACATTTGGCTATGAAATTCACATGCGAAGAGGAAACCCAAGACAGAATTGCCTTCCTGGATGTCCTGCTTACAAGAAAACCAGATGGTAGCATAAAAAGAAATTTGCATAGAAAAAGCACTTGGACAGGACAATATACACATTTTCACAGCTTTGTTCCTATTAAGTATAAAAGAAATTTCGTGAAGAACCTCAGCCACAGAGTTATATGCTATATGTTCAGAAGAAGTAATTGAAGCTGAATTAAGCATTGTATATGATACTTTGATCGAAAATGGCTATCCCGAGAAATTTATCAAGAAACGTATGACAAAGAAAACGGAAAAGGAGTACTCACTATCTGTAAAAAAAGCTTCTCTATATACGACTACAATTCATGGGTGATCAACCAAGCGAGGTAGTTGCGAAGAAATTAAGAAAATCAGTTCAAAGAACTTTTACTGCTGGCGGACCACACGTCTTATTCTCTACACGGCCGATGGTGATTCTTCGACTGAAAGATGAAGTACCTAGATTAGCCACTTTTAATTGTATCTATCAATTCAACTGCGCCTGTGGAGCCAGTTATATTGGCCGTTGCTTTTGGAACTTGGTTTTTCGTGCTCGAGAACATCTCCCAGCATGGCTACGTAAAGGTGTAGTGAAAAGTATTAACAGCTCGATATTGGAACATCTGGTGCAAACAGGCCACAAAGCCAGCGTAGATGAATCCTTCTCTATATTACACCGGGTGCCAAATAAATTACCAAAAACATCGAAGCACCGCAGGCTCCAAACAGCAGAGGCTATTGCGATTCGCCTCAAACAACCAGCACTTTGTGTTCAAAAGAAGCAAGTCCAGCCCCTACTATTGCCCTGACCTTCAGTAGAAACTATAAACTCATGAATTTGTAATATTATCCTTCCTAATTCTTCTGACATTCAGCTTATTTTATGTTGATTAGATTCAGCTCTAATCTATCAATATTATTGACTTGATGTTATTTAAACAGCATTAATGTCGTTCATAACACTAAATCATTCATTCATTCACTATAATATATGTATAAATGTAGAACCTGATGACGAATTTATCGAAAAGAGTACTCTTTATTCAGTATCCATTCTTTTGAACATTTAGTTGTTTTAATCCTTAAAAAAAGATGGCGGAAAACTACTTTGCGTACTATTTAATATTCAGAATCAAATAAATAAATAAATATAAATTCAGTAGTAACAGCAATGATAATTAAGTTTCAAACACATAAAACCGATTTACCTTATACAATCTATCCCGTTCAACCATTTCTCTTCTACGTCTACTGGCCTAAAATATAAAAAAAAATATTCAGAAGAAAAAATATAAGCTCAATTAAAATCTAACCTAAATTTGTTTTGGTGTATGAGCAATATAAACAACAATAATATAAAATATCTGCCTGCATCAAATACAGGATTATTTAGAAATTAAAGAGAAATCAGCAATTGTAAATGTGAATTAAATAAAGCGTAGGAGTGTAGTGAAATTTAAAATTAGGTCAAAGAAACAAATGGTAGTGAAGCGTTAAGTAATTTTGAATATTCCATAGGATGAAACGAATTATGAATAAACTTAGTGTCTAATACTACACTGATTATTCACAGTAAACAGAGCTGAGAAATAATCATACAAACATATGCGAAGTTGTCATTCAAGATGAAATTCTAACTTTTTTTTCAATATTTGGGAAAATTCACTTTAGATAAATACGCTAGAAGGATTGAATTTAAATAGAGTCTTTTGTTTTTGTTTGTTTGTTTGTTTTTTGTTTGATTTACAGCTTGATTCCACACTGTATTTTCGGTACAAGTATGGAATTTTCAGCATGGATATCGGTAGCCCAAATTCGTAGGCCGACCATAGACATCAGGTGTGCGTCGATGCGGGCTCGAACCCCGGACCATGTGCATGGTCGGCGAGAGTCCTAACCACTGTGCCACCGACGCACCGACGCAAAGCACGATAAAAATATGTTGGAAGTAGTCAGGAAACAGAGGGTTGACTAATCTGACTCTGAAACTAGGCGTCTACTGATCTGATATAAATAAATGCCGTTTCCCAGCAGATCAACATTTATCCTTATAAATTTTACTTTACATTTTGGGTGAACATAGATTTTCAACAGCACACCACCACTTCATGCTGTTCCCTGAAGTCAAGTTCAGCTCAAATTTCTGACTGCCTACAGGCTATCGTAATCTCACCTAGATTACTAGCTCTCTAGTTTTCTAGCCGGTCTCAACGCCGGATAAAGCAGGAGGATTGGGGCGTGGTGCTAGCAACTCCACACCCCAAAACTTAACCAAATTGCTACAGAAACTTCAATGCATAAATATAATAAAAATACTAAAAATATAAAAAGTAACCTTATTTTACACTGGAATCGGGGAAGCCAAATGACGGGAGGGATTTGAAAGAGGTTACGTCATTCACTTATCTTATCTAGGGAGCATTGCCTCAACTACAGGCAGTCAGAACGGACGAGGATGCCAAATCGAGCGAGAATCGGGAAGGCGAGAAACACATTCATATACCTGAAACAACCAATCTGGAAATCTTCGTCACTCAGCCAGCATCAACAACACAATTCGGTCGGATCTTCAATACAAACAACGTCAAGTCAGTCAGTTCTTCTACACGGAACGGATCAGATCCTTGACTGGCAGGTCACAAAGAATATTTCCAACAGCCTGTTGCAGACCTATGTCAACAACTAACTGTCTTCGCTCTATACTGAAGATCAGATGGCCGGGCCAGAAAGAATCAACCCACCAACAAGAAACTATGGAAAGAAACAAAACAAGAACCAATCGCCCCAAAAAATATGCAGGAGAAGGTGAAGATGGATTGGACACTCGCTGAGAAGGCCGCTGGGTGACATTGCACGCGCGTCAGGCCATTGCTGGAGTGGAACCAGGCCGAAAAAAGCTGTGAGTGGGACTTCCAAGGGTCACATGGAGGAGATCTTGTGAAGAGCAGCTGAAACAGTATGGGCTAACATGGATGGAGGTGAAAAGTACAGCAGAAGACAGAAGCAAGTGTGTCTTTGATCCACCTCCATTTTCTTGGGAATATTTCTCCAGCAGTAGTGCCTTGACTGACTCTTCAATCTGCCCTGCCATCTCATCTTCAGCACGCAACTACTGAGGTGTGCTGTTGAAAAACATGTGCAGAAGCCTGTTAGACATGCTTTCGAAAATTCATGCACTACATTTCTGACCCATATATTAAAACTCCTTTACCATTGGTGTCGAATATCCAAACTTCATCCTTTGAGCTGAATGCAGTGCGGGAGATTTCCAGACTGATTACAAAGTAATACAATTTTCCTATGTCTACCCAATCCTGGTTTTGACATCGTCATCCATGCTGTCACCTGTAGTTGAAAAGGAAGTGAGCTTGTCAGAATTTCTCACGTTGATTGTTTGGTTGATTGATTATCTTTATCACCACTATCTTCCAAATGTCTACCGTCATCGCTCGTGGGCTGTTCTTTCAACTTGTTCGTTTTTGCCTGTAGTTCTTTGAGTTCGTGTGACGTCAAACAGAAATCGTTCGCGAAGTCCACATTTTCTACACTCTTCTTATCGGTCCTACGTATTTCTGTCTTCTTGTTCCCTACTTACTGTCTGTCACACAATCTAGCCCTCCATAATTAGGAGCATCATCGGCGACAAAAATTGGCCTTGTCTTACTGCTGTTAGCACTTTAAAGGCTTTACTGAGTTTTCCGTTGCTGTTCATTTGACACGTAACATTGTCATATAGCTGTCCCGTGAACGTGTTACGGATTTTTGGCGATCCACTGCATATTGTTTCAGTGTTCTCCAAAACACTTCACGGTTAATGTTTTTGAAGGCATTTCCGAAATACATGAGGTTGAGGTATGCTCTGTTCGACGATAACTTTCACATTTGCAATTCGATGCGCCCATGATTTGTTTTTCCTGAATCGAGATTGTCCCATGGGTTGGTGTTCTGCGTCCAGGGCACCTTATATTCTCTCATGTATGACGCGACTTAAAGCATTATTCGGCAGCATCTCTTGAATATTGAGGATTAGATGGGAGACCAGAAAAAATTACCTTTGAACAGTCTATTACTCAACAAACATTCCAAAGAGAATGGAAATGCATTGAACACAGGCTGAGAAAACTGCTGGGTGAAATCGTGAGACTGGCCTGGATGGGAAATTACAAGTTGGGTGTTGGTCAGAGGGTGACATTGAGGCGATCATTTGAGGAGAACCATAGGAAATACAAAAAATTGGAGAAGAGTTGTTGGATCCATGTGTTTCACTCGGAAACCAAGGGAACAATAATAATGGCACTGCCAAGCAAAGTGCAGATTTTTACCTTGTAGATGTTATGTCTGTCTTCCGTTGAAAGCACTGAGTTAAATATATCTGCCTGTTAATGTGTTCTGTCAAAAGTATTTAATTGTTGATTTCTAAATAAATGAATATATTCCAGGTGGTCGGCCTATCTCTGATTCTTGGTAAACAGACCGTAAAACTTTTTCTCAAAGGAAAAGAATGACAATATGCATAATCTTCCAAAACCCTGAGATACTTTGATGTGCACTTCTTATGTTCTGAATCTTCAGGGTTGGCATGAGTAAGTGGCTTCTCTGACTTCAGAAAATGAGACTGCAAAAACACTAAGTTATTTGGTGGTAGACGAAATCTTCATATTGAATCGCGCAGAAGCGCAATAGGTTGTTCGGTCTTTTTAGTCATGGGAATTAGCTCCTTCACTAAGTGTTTACTACTTACATCTACCAGAGTTTTCAGGTGTGGAAGTCCCTGTCTAGTGATAGAGTCAGACATGTGGTAACTTCACCAGCCAAGAAATTTATAAGTCGACGTATCTTGAGGCGGATGTATAATGTTTAAAACTTATGAAGGAAAAGGCTGGTTAAAATAGGATGGTTAGATCAAGGGTTAGTATCAAACCTTGATCTGTTTACAGGTGAGTGGCTTAGCAGGCGGGCCCTACATGCGGTGCGAGAACCATAATGCTTTGACCATCTTGTGTTTTCCAATATTAGCTACTCTTGTAAAGTCTCCCTTTGGCTACGTTTTTCCGTCCAGTGCTCTGAGTATCAACGGGAAGAAACTCAACCGGGCACGGGTAATGGCGGGATGAGGTTATGGTTATATGCGGCAGGCGTCTTCAGGGGGCAACCGCTGGGTGGAATCTATCGGCAGTCAAACCGAGCTCCAGCTAAGACCTGTCGCAGCATGAGAAAACATCCGTGATTGGCTACTCAATCTTGATGAAGCGGCTGGCCGTCCTCGGCTTTATGCGCTGTATGGGGCATCGACTGTTCAAGATCTGTTGGATTCTTGACGAGAGGGCCGAAAAAAATAACAACTGATTAACGGGTGACTACGGAGGACTGGTAACCCCAAACACGAGACGCGGTCTGGCAGCTGTTAGTCCAGTCTGAAGTGGTGTCTTATGCAGTGGTTGTGGTGTTGAGGTCGGGATCTCGGCCATGAGTCAGGTTTAGGCTGGTTCCAGTGCGCAAGGGTCCCTGGTTAGATGTTCTGGTACAGACGAGAAGGTTGCCATTGGCTGTCAAAGGTAACGAAAGGAATGGCTTGCTCTCCAATACACAGTGCAAAAGTCATTTGGCTGGGCATGCATTTGTGGAATGTCCGTACACAGGTAAAACTAATAGGATGGCTAGATCAAAGGTTAGTATCAACCCTTTGAGTCAACTGACTGAAGAACACACACACACAAGTACCAGCACATGAATATAGCTGACACGATGACAAAACTATAATAACTTCTCTATGTTTCACCAGGCAAATCGGCTAATTTGAAAATTGAACTATGGGCTGTATTATTCAGAATTAAATATCATAGCATAGAATCCCTAATAATTTTGCTTCATTCTGAATTGTAATATTGACTGTCTTTATTTCGATAATGAAGCTGTCTGGTAATGATTGAAGGCGGAGTGAAAATCTGGGGAGTCGAAATAGCTGGAACAGTCTGTCGTCCTAGTAGAGGAGCTAAGAAACACTAACAAAGTTGCATACGCGACGGTGGCATAGCAGTAGAATGCTTATCAACCACTCATGTGGTTCTGGGTTTCATCCTCAGCCACAGAGTCACTTCTTTCCTCTCTAAGTCAGTAATAAGAATGGTAAAGAGGGAAAGTCGGACATGAGGCTAGCTATCCCATCCCGTCAAAGTGAAAACACCACTGCTACTGAAACTTGTTAGCTCTTGCATGAAGTCCTATGCTCCACTGTGAACGTAGAGGAGTGGAAAAT